ATTTAACATATTATAAATAAACCAGCTGGCAAATATTATAATATAATTATTTTGGTAGCTTTACTGTTCACAAAATAATATAGCACATAGCATAGAATTTTTTGGACACATTTGCAAGATTTGATTATATATAAGTACTTTTTTGTAAAGATCTAACAATATTCTTCCAATTAAGATGTGATAATTAATTAAAAGGTAATAAACGTGATTAACTAATTATTCCATATATAAATAAATTATATTCATGTTCGACATATATAATCCTAGTTTCATGCCAAATAAGAGACCAATTTTGTCTCCCACAACGGATGTGGGATTTAAACATTTTTCATATGCTCAGTACTGGACATTTAGAGTGTGAATAAAATAAAATGAACTCAAACATCGAGTAAATGAAGAACTAGGAATGGTTAGATTTTGATACTATATACGATAAAAAACTGACCTAAATATTTTATTTTTGGATTAAACATAGTGTTGATGTTCATAGACCAAAGAATGTGATGTCAAACACTACTACATGTTCATGAATCATGATAATGATTTTATGTTGTACACTTAGCCTTTGTCACTCACCAAAGGGCAATATTTTTTAGTTATATATCGACCTTGGCTAAACAAATTATACTAATATTTCATATGTATATATTTTATTAATTTATTTTGGGATCTTGCACTTCTGAGATATAAGATATAGTAGTAATTCGAACACTAAATAAATTATTAATCTACACTTTTAAAGTAAATTATTAATTAATTCGAGTGATCCATAAGTAGTGGGCACAAAACCTTAGGGTTATTGAGCCATAGAAAGATATATTCATAAGCAAAACAAAGTATTATTATCTTGGTTTGCACTAAGTTTGATCATCACAATTATTGGTTGAACAAAAAATCCAATTGACAACTACGTTGATATTTAGGTAAAGAATATATATGGGGTTTGGATCGAGATTACTGAATTCTGCATAACTAAGATTGTAAATATGTTGATATTTAGGTAAAAAATGAATATATATATATGGGGTTTGGATCGAGACTACTGAATTCTGCATAACTCATATTGTAAATGTTACATTCATCCCCGAGTGAAAATACCTTGCGTTTTCTATGGAAAAAAAGGTGTTAAGTGTATTAATCTAAACTTGTGTATTCAAACAACTAATTTATTTTAAATTGGGGATTAGAGAGGGATTATAAGGTGGAGAATCGAAGTCTCACCAACAAGATGAAAGATCAGATAGTTATTAATGAACTGAACTACTAAGATTTTTCAGAAACAACTATATGCGTTGCTCGGGCTCTTACGAAGATGGATGAATGTGTGTCGGATCATCCAAAATAATGTATTTTTGGAGAGTCCTAAAAAGTAACATAGTTAGAAACCTTTAGGGTGTGTTTGGTATGAAGGAAAATGTTTTCCATGGAAAATGTTTTCCTAGAAAATGTTTTCCAGGAAAACAAGTTGATTTTTGACTTATTTTCTCATGTTTGGTTGGTGAGTAGAAAATATTTTCCGGAAAAGATTTTTAGTGTTTGATTTATGAATAAAAAATATTTTTGAGAAATATCTTTTATTTTTACTAGAGTAGAAAATAATTTTTGAAATTGAAAATAGTTTTTAAAAACAAACTTAAATTTTTTTGGGGGAGTGGGGGTGCAGGGGGGGGGGTTGAGGGTAGGGGTGAAAAATTGAAATTTTGAAGTTGAAAATATTTTTGAAAAACAAACTTAAATTTTTTTTTTGGGGGTGGGGGGTGGGTGGTTGGGGGTCGAGGGTAGGGGTGAAAAAATGAAATTTTGAAATTGAAAATATTTTTTAAAAACAAACTTGAAATTTTTTTTTTTTTTTTGGGGAGGGGGGGTGGGGGGCTGGTAGGGGGTGGGAACTTAAATTTTTTGTGGGGGAGGGGGGGGGGCTGGTGGGAGTGGGTGGGTGGGGGGCTGGGTAGGAGGTGGGTGGGGGGGTCAAGGGTAGGATGAAAAAATGAAATTTTGAAGTTGAGAATATTTTTCAAAAACAAACTTAATTTTTTTTTTGGGGGGGAGGGGGGTTAGGGGTGGGTGGGTGGGGGGCTGGGTAGGAGGTGGGTGGGGGGTCGAGGATAGGATGAAAAAATGAAATTTTGAATTTGTAAATATTTTTTAAAAACAAACTCAATTTTTTTTTGGGGGTGTGGGGTGACCGGAGAGGGGGTGGGTGATCGAGGATCGGTATGAAAAAATAAAAATTTGAAGTTGAAAATATTTTTTAAAAACAAACTTAAATTTTTTTCTTTTCGAAGGGGGTTGGGGGCTGATAGGGGGTTGATGGGGGGGGGGGGCGAGGGTAGTGGGTGGGGGGTAAAAAAATAAAAAATTGAAATTAGAAATATCTTTTTAAAATAATTTTTAATATTTTTTTGGGAGGGGGTGAGGGTGGGGTAAAAAAATTGAATTTAAAAACAAGCTTTAAATTATTTATTTTTTTTGTGGGGGGGGGGGGGTTGGTTGGGGATGGTTTGAGGAATAAATTGATTTTTCAACAAAAAAATAATTGTAATTTGAAGTTGGAAGAGAGTTTTGGAAAATGTTTTCCTTAAGTTTTGAAGGGAAGTCATTTTCCTTAAATTTGAGGAAAATGAGTTGATTTGGAAAACATTTTCCAAAACATTTAGCCTAACCAAACATGAGAAAATTGAAAAATGTTTTCCTTCATACCAAACACACCCTTAATCTTCTTATTGATTTTTCGAAATTTCTAAAAATTAATGAACTGCTTATTGGTTGGAAAGAGATATATCATGAGCACTTATGTATCTCCTTCTTATATATTATTATATCCACTAATATACTGTTTCAATTTCTCCCTTAGCTCAGGAGCACCAAACCCTAATTTCATTTGCCACACCCACCCACCCTCCACCTCTAAAGATTCTCAATAATTCTTCAATTCCTTTCCACTTGTACAAATTGTTCTTGATTCAATGGACTTCATTAGGTTAATTTGTTGAAGATGAAAGACGGATTCAGAATTTGAAGTTTACATGTTCTGAATCTGAAGTATAAGTGCAGTGGTGGAGGCATGATTTGAAGTTTACGTGTTCTGAATTTGAAGTATAAGTGCAGTGGTGGTCTGGTGGAGGCAAGATTTGAAGTTAATTTAGGGTTTTGAATTTAAAGTTTAGGGGGTCAGGATTTGAAGTTAATTTATGAGTTGTGAATATAAAATTTAAGGATAGAGGCAAAATTAGAATTTGAAGTAAATTTATTGGCAAAGGTGGAGTTAAAATTTCAAATTTATACGGTCGGGATTCTAATCCTTTTTAAGTTAGTTGGTTCTAAATTACTAATTTATATGCGCTCATGGAATTTCTTAAGAAATATATAGAATGTGGATCAAATTCACTGACTTTGGCCGAACATATAATCAAAATCACTATTTATGAGTTTCTAAAGTTTATTATATATACAATATACTCGATAAATATACAGAATTCCTCCTCCTCCATCATCTTCATGTATCGATAAAAAATGAACTTAACTTAAACACAATATAGAGGATCCTCTTGATAGTACTAGTCCGTATAATATTATCTACTTTACACATCATGTTGCACAAATTTAAAATTCAAAATGCAATAGTATAATTTAAGGCGTGCTGATTAATTTATAACTAATATATTCAACATATCTTTTATATTTTATCGATACGAAATTTGTTTAGAGTGTACAATTATCAGGACATTAAGTGGGGAACATTGAAATTGGATTAGGGTGTTTATAAGGCTAATAAGGAAAAGCTAAAAAAGGCATTTTGAGTATTTATGTTTTAGTGGTTGCTTTATTGAGACCTTCGATAGAGACATTGGACATTAGACATTACCACAAAGCCAAAACATTGATGAAAATTAAAATAGTGAGACCACTTCAATTATATTATAAGTAAGTATAATATAGTCAATTAAATATATCCACACATTGCTTTTTGGTGGGTGGTTCTATTTATTTAAAAATATAATATGTTTTTTAAAAGACTCAATGATTTGAGAAAACATTTTTACGATTTTTTCAGATCCCTTTTATGGGACTATGTATACTAAATATATTGTCGTTGTTGTTATTCTTATGATTTTGAAATATGTTTTTGTACTATGTCATGTAGTATATGTGGATCCTTAAATCATATTATATATTTGTATTAGTAGCATTTTTTGTTCATTAGTTTTGGGTAAATTCATACTACTATTATTATATATATGGGTTTGCTTGCATTGTTACTTAGTAATTTGACGATAATATAGTTCTATAAATAATCAATTACAACATCGTTTCGACATGAAGGAGTATCAAAAGCACACGTTTAATTATTTAGCTGAAAATTAAATATGTTGAGCCGTATATCAAAATAGAATTTATCTACTATTGTCCCCATATAATATTTTATGACATAATATTATAATTTAATTAATCAAATAAAGTATAAATCAAGATTTAAGAAAAATACTCAAAATAGGGACCCACCCTTTGAATCTTTGACCAATGGTTTGGAGTATATATGGACTTAATGAATCATACGCCACATACTATCTTAATAATGAACCATTCTCCAATTACAGAAATAGAAACCACTAAAGAATTTTTTTGTTATTTAAAATAATAATAAAAAAGGACACATAGTGTAAACACTAATATTGCTGAAGTGATACAATTAGGTAAAGCATATATATAGAAAAAATTATTGTCTGGTCCCAACTGATATATAATAAAGTTGCAAGAGGTCAACCAAATTTAATTTCAATATTTTTCATTCAAAATCATATTATAACAACATACTCATTAATCAGTATAATTTGATCTTACGAGTGAACTAAGAAAAATAAATGATATGTAGACCTTGAAAGTGCAAGTCACATTAATCAGTATAATCTTACAAGTGAAATGTAGTAGACCCTCGACTTCAAAATCATATTAGTAGTTGTAACAAAAAAGGTGGAGGTTTATTTGGAGCAATCCATCAAGCTTTACTGGACTTGGTAGACACCGACCCGTTATCCTTCCACTGCACAGAGATCTAATCTCACGAGTGAAATCTAAGAAGGATAAAGGATATGTAGACCTTGAAAGTGCAAGTCACATTAATCAGTATAATCTTACAAGTGAAATGTAGTAGACCCTCGACTTCAAAATCATATTAGTAGTTGTAACAAAAAAGGTGGAGTTTATTTGGAGCAATCCATCAAGCTTTATTGGACTTGGTAGACACCGACCCGTTAACCTTCCACTGCACAGAGCGGGAGCTGTTCATTGCTCTGTGAAGCCAGCCTCATGCGATCCGCCCCACTTTAGGAATCAAGAAGCCCATACTTTCATTTGGGCCTCATGATCCAACTCTGTGCTTGGATAGGGCAAGCCAGGAATAAGCCCACCAAGCCCAACCATCTGGTAAAGCCCAATATTCTAACACCTTAATGTCCCCACTTGAGTTACAAGCCTACGTTACTAAGCTCGACGTATAACAAAGTGTCATAGATTATTATAGATGCATTAAATTCATTAACAAATGGCGATGTGGGAAAAATTGTTAATTCCATGAGAGGCAATAGAGAGAATAATATATAGTTTAATGTTGCACCATTTCTTACTTTTATTTCACCTTGTACAACATTCGTGATGTTTAGTATGATTGCTTCTTTGCTGTATTTTTCTTTCCTACTTAATTTTGTTATGTTATCCTTGAGTTGAGGATTTTTCGAAAGAGTCTTTTTGCCCTCACAAAATAAAGGCAAGGTCGCACACATTACTATTACCAGACTTCACTTGTGAAATTACATTGAATGTGTTGTTGTTGTATTTTATTTTGTACGTCAATGATATGAGTTGAGTTTAATGAAGTGATGAGAATTCATATAGCCGATCCCAACTTGTTTAAGACTGACGCATTGAAGGACCGAATTCCATTAATATTTTTCCCATTTCATTCGTGTTATGAATTATTTCTTGCTTCATTGTAAAAAGAAGAAAAAATATTTGTTTTTGCGATTTTGAGACATAAGATCTTATAACATATAATATTAACTTCTTTCAAATGACAATTCTTTTGTTGTACTTCATGATTTACATCCCAACAAGCTATGTGGTTTGGATGAATCAATTTCTTCATTCTTAATCAAAGATCTCAAGTTTGAGTTACGAGTATGAAAAAAAAATCCGAATTGATCAGGGCTTCTATAAGAGTCTTCGCACTCAATATCTACTATATACATGCATAAAAAAAGATTAAAATCTTATACTTGTAGTATAATTTTTCATCGAACGAGATTTAAATAAAGGCAAAAAAAAGTGGTTGTTTATTTGGAGCAGCCCATCAGGCGTTACTGGACTTGACGAACACCGACCCGTTATCCTTCCACTGCACAGAGCGGGAGCTGTTCACTGCTCTGTGAAGCCAGTCTCATGCGGTCCGCCCCACTTTAGGAATCAAGAAGCCCATATTTTCATTTGGGCCTCGTGACCCAACTCTATGCTTGGACAGGGCAGGCCAGATATAAGCCCATCAAGCCCAACCTTTCTGGTAAAGCCCAATATTCAACCACCTTAATGCCCCCACTTGGGTTACAAGCTCATGTTACTAAGCTCGGCAAGCAGTTAAGTGTTGTACATTGTTATAAAGGAATCAAATTCATTGTCAAATATCGATGTGGGAGAATAGTTTTTTATTCCATGCAACTAAGAATCTCTATTGTGTGGGATGGTAGTGAAAAACTTAGAAAAGATAAATAAATATTTTTTCGGTTTATCTCTATCTCTCGTTGAATTTATTACTGGTCAATCTCTCACACTTTTTCATTAAGACATTTACGTATTTTTTCTTCACATATTCTAACCATTTGTAATTGAAAGGGTTCAAAAACTTCACTTCATCGCTCAATCCCTTGCTTCTTTCCTTCTCTTTTTTTCTCTTGGTTTCTTTATGTCAATGTGATTTAATCTCTCTTCTCTCGTCTTGTCTATCACATAGATTACTCATACCTTGTCTCAAATATTTTCATTCCTTATCTTATTTCTTCTAGTATGTCCACACATTCGCATCAACATCCTACTTTTCACAACTCTCATATTTTGAATATAAGAGTTTTTAATTGGTCAATACTCTATCCAATACAACATAATCGATTTTCATCTTCACTCTATAAATCTTGCATTTGAGTTTTGATAATATTTTCTTATCAAATTTATTTTATAAATTAAATGATTTTTTTATTTTAAAATTATTTTGATGGTAGTTTAAATCCTTTTACTATAAATCCTTGAAGAAAAAAGAAACATAGTCCAAAACCAAGGCATACTCAAAAATTAGCTGACAACAGTCCAGTCCAGTCCAGTCCACCAGTCACCAATCTCCTTCATCGCCGGCACAACCCGTTGCTTTTCTCCGATTTACTCCGGCGACCGGCATACAAATATATAATAATAAAGATTTCATCTTTGTTTTAACAAAACCCTAGTCCTTTTTTCTTTCTTCGATAATTTATGTTAATGATTAAAGTAATTTTTTTTTATGTATATAGTAGATATCGAACCTCCTTCGACTAGTTTGTATCTTCAGATTTTGAATCCTCTTAGTCAAAATCCTGGCTCTGCCACTTCTCATAAGTCATAAGGTAGGGATAAGGTTGTGTACACATCACTCTCACAAGACCGACCTTGTGAAATTACACTGAATATATTGTTGTTGTATTTCACTTTGTACATCAATGATATAAGTTGTTTAAATGAAAAAGTGAGTATTCATATAGCCAATCGGTTACGTATTAGTCAAACACCCTTCATCCAAAAGTTATACTATATATATAGTAAATCATACGAAATATATAGGTAAAAAATTATTGTTCATACATCCATGTTAAATCAATCCCAATTTGTTTAAGATTGAGAGTGTTGCTTATTAAAAAACTATGGAACTATTTTACTAAATCACATTAAAGGACCGAATTTTCCATATTTCGTGTTATGAATTATTTCGTGCTTCATTAAGTAGAAGAAGAAAAATTATATATTTGTTTTGTGACATCTATAACAAATAATATTAACTAGTATTTAACTTTTTTCAAATGACAATTCTTTTGTTGTAATTCAGGATTTACATTATTAGTGTTCTCAGTTCGATTAATAAGTATTTCATATATTTTTCACATTTTTTATTGAGGTATTTGTGCATTTCCTCGGTCTTCATATGCCTGAATGGTGACATTTGTAATTGAATGCGTGTTTCAAATCTCACTTCATTGTTTAGTCCCTTGCTCTTTTCCTCCTCTTTTTCCTTTTCGATTCTTTTTGTCAATATAATTTAATCTTTTTTCCCTTCATTACTTGTTTTCTAGTACGTCCACACATCCATCTCAACATCCTACTTTTCACAACTCTCATCATCCGAACATAAAATAAGAGTTTTTAACTGGTCAATACTTTGTCCAATACAACATAATCGATTTCATGATCGCTCTATTAATCTTACATTTAAGTTTTGATACTTATCAAATTTATTTATTTTATTAATGTGATTTTCTATTTTCAAAATTATTTTGATCGTAGTTTAAATCCTTTTACCATAAATCCTTGAAGAAAAAAAAAAAACATAGTCCAAAACCCAAGGCATACTCAAAAATTAGCTGACAACAGTCCAGTCCAGTCCACCGGTCACCAATCTCCTTCATCGGCGGCACAACCCTTTGCTTTTCTCCGATCTACTCCGGCGACCGGCGAAGTTCGAGCTGTAAGTTCAATACATATATATAATAATAAAGATTTCATCTTTGTTTTAACAAAACCCTAGTCCTTTTTTCATTCTTCGATAATTTTTAATTGTAGAACTATCAAATTGTGAAAGTTTTTTTTTTTTTTTTGTAATGCTTTGGTGTGTGGTTGGGTGGGTTAAATCAGCTCTTAAAACTGTATAATTCAACAACAACAATATAACCAAGTGTAGTCCCACAAGCGGGGGTCTGGAGAGGGTAGGATGTATGGAGATGTATCGTCTACCTTTGTAGGTTAGAGACTATAGAGTTTGTTTCTGATAGATGCTCGACTCGAAAGAAGACTGTCTAACTCAGTATTTCGAAAAAAACTGAAAAGCTCAAAAAAAGAGGCAATGTGCAGCACAACGAACTATTGTTTGAAGCAAAGTGCACAATTTGAAATGCAAAATTATCTTATACTTCAGATTGAGTACCTATTTTAACATATTCACTGATCAATTGCAAAATTGATATCCAGTTGTTGATTGATTATCGATAAAAAAGTTATTTGCTGCCATAATTTGGTAACTTTGGTTATAATGAACTTCAATAGCTAGGGTCATCTTTTTATTTTCCAAGAATCTGCCCGTAAATTGAGATTTGAGAATAGGAACAAACAGACGAATACACGAGAAAAAGAATTGTTGACAGGAAGAGTATAAGAGAGAATTGACGAGAGGTCAATATCGCAAGTATCAACTTGAACACAGAAATACAGAGTCATTTGGAATCTTTTGTATAGATAGACAGGATGTTCTTTTTTGCTGTCTTTTGGATGTAATTGCAGCAACTTCATAGTGCTGATTTTTAACTTCTATAATATTTACCATTTAAAAAAAGAAGAAGGAAAGAAGCAAATTAAGAGAACCCAAGAAACATGAGGTGAAGGAAATTCAATGCAACTCATAGAAGTGTAAGACAAGGAAGAGAACATTGAAACGTAGCTTAAGAGGACTTGTCTTAGTACAGCTAGCATAAAGAAATGTATTTTTTTTAATGACAAGGGAAACCCGCAGCCGCTACCCTTTGGGTGCGCACAGGGTAAAACCCCCACTCCTATGCAATAACTCGCAAACCACATAGGAGAGGTAACCTGCACTAGGCAAGCCCGGTGCGATGAGCTCGACCCAGAAGGCAAACCCCTTGCTTTCACTGGCAAGGGGTTTCGAACTTGAGACCTCCACCATGGAAGTCCCAAGCCCAAACTACTAGGCCACCCCGAAGGGTGCATAAAGAAATGTATTTGATGGGAAGAGTATGCATTTCATTTACTTTCCGTTCGATATTGGCGGCAGAATCGTGCAATGTACTACTCTCTTTTGAGGATAATAAATGGTCGCTTTTCTTACATTTTTATCATAGAGAAGATAAAAATAAAATTAGACCATTAAATGTGAATGTGTAAATTTCAAGTCATGTAGGATCCTTATGAACATCCACTATTATGTGAATATTTTGCAAATTCGGTGAGGCTTTAGCTTATTTAATGTGCAGGTTCTGAAGTAGTGAAAATGTTATTGCGATTAAGGTTCATCTTGTTGACCTTATTAAATTGGTGTAGTTTCTCTAGATTTTGGGTTTAGGGTTTCTTTTTTGTGCTGAAACAAAGTCAATGAATTTCAGCTAAGATAAAGCTTATGTCTTAATCAGATGGAGA